ATTGTCCCATACATTTTTTATTGCTCTATATATATAATTAACTAGTACAATACTCGTGTATCACACGGATGTTGAATTAGAAAGTTTTTGTAAAAAATATTAATTTTTTTTTAAGAAACTAAAATAATTTAATTTTATATAAAACATTACATTGAGTTTTAATTAAATTGTCAAATTATATTGTTTTAATCATAATTATTTAAAACTCGTACATTAAATGAAAATGTCAACTTATGTTGAATTTGTTTATTTATATCATATAAAAATATCGATATTATTTACTATTACATAAGTACAAAAATATATATCTTAAATAAATAGTAATAATATTGTGATATGTATATGCATAAGTGTAGAATATATTTATTTAATATTAAGCAAAAGTAATTTTTTTACTTAATTAGATATCTAATACATCAAGTGTTGTATCAGTCGTGCTTCAAAGGTTTTTACCTTTATATGTAATTTTAGAATTTATATAAATAATTATTTATTTTTATTACATTGACAACATACTAATTAGATTTGAAATAAATATCATAATAATTAAACACCCATACATTAATTAAAAATGTCAACCCGTGTTATTATTATTATAAAGATAAGTTATAAAGATAAATATAATTTATTTATTTCATATATACAATATGGATGTCAAATTGAAGTTCATCAAAATATGATTAATTTGATATATGATATATATAAAACCGATAAGAAATATAAAAGTTATCAACTTTTAAAATATATTTGTAATTCAATGGTTATAATAGGTAATGATATTAAAATACAATTAATACAAATATTAATTTATATCCAAACCTAACTTCAAACCATAATGTTTTACCAAATAAGATTTCGAAGAATGAGAGTTTGCTACGTAGACTCAGTGCATTCTGAAATTATATATAGAGAGATTTTGCTTTAAAGTCCTATTGACTGACTGAAAGCAATACTTGTTTATCATTGGTGCCTTGTCCGAAATGATAAGTGAGGTAAGAATAACCAGTTTATCAAAACGGCACCATTGTCTTATGTTGCAAGTCGAATTTTTTCTAGATTAAGTGGTATTACAAATGGAAAATGCGTAATTTTTCCTCCATGCAACAGAAAATAATCTAATACCATTGGATTTATGGAGACTTTACACTATAAATTTAAAATTAAATTCAGTCCCAATAAAATGAAAAATTGTTTTGTTTAACAAATAAACACCATACATCTTATTATCGATCTACTATATAATTGGACACTTTACACGGAATGTAATCAAATAAATTACATAAAAAAAAATTGTATTATATAACAAATAAACATCATATATCCTTGAAAACTTCATACACAACATTTTTTGTAATTGAACTTGGTTCTTTAGGGTGTGATTGTATATAATTTGCACAGTAAATATTCAACTCAAAACTCAAATTTAACTCAACTTTAATTCAACTTCACTATCTCCATTATCATCAATATAATTAAATAATATTAACCAATCATTATTACACATCACATCAACTTTAATTCACTATTCACCCACTCACATAATTTTAACTAACCATCACTTCCAATCATTTTTTCTTACTTTTACATCAAATCAACTTTAATTATTTTAATTTAAATAATATTTTAATATATCCATTAACAACTAACCATACTACTTTTTTTTAAAATTTAACAATAGTTAAAAAAAACTAGTTTTTTACTAGTTGAATTCATATCGAATCACCCCTTAGACTTAGAACACATCATAAAGAAATTGGTTTCTAAATGAATGATTGAATAGTGCCACGTATGATTCATCATTTCATCCTAAGCAAGTAGAAGGCGCGTTAAGACGTGCCGTCACTCTTAGATCACTTGCTAGGCCACAAATAGACTCGCAGAGCCTTCAAAAAAATGAAGGCAAAACGAAAGGGACCAAAAAGAAAGGAGAGAGAAAAAAAAAGGTATTTAGCTAAAAGTAAAAAAATTCATCCTCTGACTTTTACAAGAAAATAATTGGACTCTTCTGAGCCGGAAAAGGGCGGCCGCGCGTCCGAAAATCTCCCAAGAGCCGGCGGGTCTCGCAGCGGCCGCCGCCTTCGCGGCGGTTGCTCTGCCGGAAAGTTGACAATATAGTTTTGGTCGCGATTTCTAATTCCTTTGTCTCGTCCAGATAAATCTGCCTGTCTCTGCACTCCACACTGCAAAATCCCAAATTACCCCTGCAATTTCATATGACAAAATCAGAATATATATATTTTTAAAAAAAAAAAACAATTTTTGATGATTAATTTGGTAATATGCCCACCTGTACATATAAATTTCTTTATCAAGACTCAAGGGCTTGGTGCAAAGATGGCACGATTTGAGATAGCAGCCACAGGTTAATGGTTTCGAAATGGGCTTGATAACAATATTATTTGAATTTACATTTGCAAGCCTTTTGAGGATTAATCTCAGCCCTTCTTCATCATCATCATCCACATATATTGAACCCTTTTTCTTGCTCCTAATCGTTGAATACATCTTAAAAGACTCTATGTGTGTGTTTGAATCTATGTGCAGAGTGAAGTGATTTTGATGACTGATGAAGATTGTGAGGTTGTGGGGAGTTCGGATATTTAATGGGCTTTAGTGCGAGGAAAATGGACACACACACTCACATGACGAAAGTGGTACACATTTCTAACACGTGGATAATTGGTACAAGTTTTGTGTTTTTTATAATACAATCCTTTTCTATGTTTAAATGGTACATATTATTTTTGTTGAAAAAAATGAATACATAGATTTATCGTACAAAACAGTGTAATTTAAATTGATAAAATTGATATGGTTTTCTTGAGAAAATCAAGTTTAGAATAAAACAAAACAAAATATCATTTTGAGGATATTTGCGAAGAAAATAAAGTACCCAAATTTCGAATATTATAATGTGCTTCAGCTGTATTCTCATTTCCAAAAGTTGAATTTTTTATGTGTATATCCGAAGGGCATAAATTGGAATATTATATTGTGCTTCAAATTATCCAATATATTTCTAACTTTTAGAGTTTTTGTTTTTAAAAGATTTTGCTGTTAGATAAGAAGAACGCATAAACAGGAATATTATATTATGCTTCAAATATATCTCTTCTCTAATTTTATTTGAAAATACAATTTAGTTTAAGAACTGTTATTGGATGGACGAAGCCAAGAAATTTGAGACAAGTACTTTTTATTTGTATGCGGTCTATCTACTTTTTGTGGTGTAGAGCCCATTAAGGTTTAGATTTAATAAAACGTGAAAGTTGTGCATGTAAATATTTTCCTTCATTATTGTTCGAATGATGGGAATTTTTTAACTTGTTCCTTTGCATAGGAAAGCACGTTTTTGAGTGCTATTTACCCACCGTCCGCTTTCATTACGAATGGTATTCTTCATGCCGGTGAGTGGCGACTTTAGGTGGGATTCAATATAAAATAATTTCTGTCTTGTTAAACCAATGAAATAGATGATTTTACAACAATTAAATTTTGATGGATCAATTTTAGATCAATTATTAGGTTTGTCACGTGTTGGATTTTTTCTTTTTCGATTTGTCATCTCGACTTTTTTGATTCCCAAAAGACTCAGCTCAAGCACGTGGTTCGATTACATGCCTATCAATCTCTGTAATGTGACCGACAAGATCATTTTCAAATTTCCTAAAATAAAAAGCTTTAGCTAAACTTGATATATATTATTTATTAACATTAAATTTTGACATATTTTTCGGCTAAGAAGAAAAGAAAGTAAATAAATTGTGAAGTAATAAAAGGAAAATAAGTGTTGGAAAAGATATTAAAAAAAAGTAAAAATTGCAAAGGTGGACCAAGTAGAGAGTTTTTTTGTCTTTGCATTAGAATAAATTTAGTTACTTTTATTTACTTTTATCCATGTCATCTAAAACTTAAATCGGAATGAATTTAATTACTTTTATTGAGTTCTACTCATGTCATCTAAGACTAAAGTCAACTAAAATTTGATTTAAAGCATTGTGGATCCTCTAGTACCCAACAAAAAGTACAAACAACAAATTAGTACACTTCTAAACTATTCACAAGAAAGATTGAAATAATCTAACCTACAAACCTATACATAATTACTTTATAACTCTAGCATTTTAAATTTGCTTATATTTCATGATTATAATTACTAGAACAATACACCATTGGCCCCTTGAGGTTTCCATTCGATAGTGTCCCAGAATTTTATCAAAACGTACAAGGATAAACTGAGTGAACACAAAATTGGGGCGCAAAGATTTGAGGAGAGATTCGTTTGATAACCGCATAATCATGAAATCAAATACATTAGGAATACCACACACATATATTGCCATACATGTCAAAGTTGTGATGTAGCTTTGAGTGGCGGTGGTATGCTTTAGCAATGCCAGAAAAGTTGAGAAAAGCAGACCTTCTTGTAGCCTTATAAGTATAGTTGGATGAGCTCGTCACTTACTACTGACGGTGTTAGGACACCTAAATCTGTAAAAAGTAAGGTGAGGTACTGTGGCGGAGTATAATCCCGAGCTGATGTCTCAACCTCAACCTTGGATGGGATAGGTACTCCGAAATCGATCGGGCGCAAGGCAGGAACCATGTCTTTTTGATCTAATGGATACAGACGAGCAAACTGCAAGGAAAAACATCAGTGTTGACGACTTTTCTGGATAATTATGAGTTTAACTATCAAGTTATCCTCAAGGTTTGATATCGTCAGCTAATACACAGAATGCCTATGGTTTGGAAATTAACGAGCTACCTGCAATACTTTCATTAATATAGGATGGGTGGGTGGGTACAGAAAGTAATTGCTTGCTTGAAATTAACAAGGGCATTTTTAAAATATATTTTGAATGTAATGTGATCAGAAATTTTAAAGATGCAAAGATAAAATCATGAAAGACAAGTTGTGGAGATCCTTAGCGGTCTTTTCAACTTGATGTTTTCTATTATTTTTTAGAACCACAAAACGACTATTTTTCGCTNAAAAAAAAAAAAAAACTATCTGAAGTCCTTGCAAACATTTCCTAACCCAATCGTATATTCAGATGCAAAGTCATGGATAAGCAGACCAAGGAGATTTAGTGGCATTTTACATTAAAGAGGCTTCTTATACAACTTCACGACAACCAATTAGAAGTGGGAAAAGAAAGATCAGTATCCATTACCTTGTAGCTCTCTGCAGCAACATAAACTGGTTTGTTCATGCTTTTAGCAACCAAAGCAATTTGGTATGTGCCCATCATATTTATAATACCACCACTTTCAAGCACTCCATCTGCTCCTACGAACACCATATCAACTTCATCCATGCTATAAGCCACAGCAGAGTCTATCAACAGCTTAACAGGAACATCAAGCTTAGCAAGCTCATTGGATAACCTAAGTCCCGTCCTGTCCGGCCTCCCCTCTGCATTTTGTGCACATTTAAAATTAAATCTCACATTGCCAATGAGTTAAATAATGGATTGGATATAAAGATGCTAGTACTCCATGTGTCAATGGATACGACTAAAAGTAGGAACAGCGGCATACCCATTGACATATTTCATTAACAGAATTAACAGAGAATCCTACTATCACATAATATATCTCAAAGGGCACATTCAAATTTCAAAGACTAATAGATGCACGTGCAACTTGATACCTATAACATATATTTATTTATTTATATACAGATATATAGTAAGTAATCTGTAATTAACATTTTTTCGATTGCATTATTGGGACAATTTTATCCTATTGACTCCTGTTACGTAATCAGATTAACATTGACATGCGTACCTGTGCAGAAAACTCGAAAATTCTTTTTATTGTGTGCAGCAGTTCTCAATATTTCCAACACAACTCGAGAGAAGCCATGAACTAAAATAGTACAACCATCCAAGATAAAGTCTTGGCCTAGCATTGCAATTATTCTCCGAGCCTGACATAAGGAGAATCAGCTAACAGTTGTCAATTACTTTGAAATGTGAATACAAAAAAGGAGACAGGGAAGCATGGGAGGAACCAAATTTTTGAGCCAATCAATACCTTATATGATATCTCACCGAACTTCTCAGCACGTTCAATTAGGCGAGACTTAGCTGAATTGAAATCTTCATATTCCAAAGCCGACGTTCTTGTCACATAGCGCATGAACAGATCACATCCAGCTGTTAAAGAGATAGAGGTACTGTCCCATGACTGCATAAAAATCAAAGGTGTTCATAAATCAGCTCATCTCATCACTTATTTACAGTTTCTTCAATAAAATGGTTCATGTATTATTGCTTGGTCAGCTATGATGCTACAGAAACGGGCAAGGAAATCATGAAAGTTCGTAGCAAACACATTTATATGCATAGCTGGTTCTCTTATAAATAATTATAGTCAAGTTTTGTTAACTATCTAAATAGAGTTTGCATAAGCTGTATATATATATACACACACACACATAGGATATGGTGCAACCCATGAAAACACTATTTTTAATTGTGTTGAGTGATATTTTTAATTAGGATGGATTAAAATCTGTGTAAATGGTAGCACCATATGATATAAAAAGTAGCATTGTATACAAGTAAAAATAGCATCATATACAATTCTCACACTAGGACTTGTTTTTTATTAGAACCCTACCCTATATATTACTGTTACATTGTTTAATACTTAACTATATCACCTCTGTTTCAGTAATGACATCCAAACCCATGCAATAACGTTTATCACTAAGACACTAACCACTATATTCTTGGCTGACTGAGGTTATTGTCTACATTTTTTGAGGAACCATTTGATATAATACTATTGTGCAACATCCAATTCTTCAGGATTTATTTTGTTCTTCATCACCATAAGACTGTCTGGCCCCTCAGTTCACTTGTTGGACATTAAAAATAAACATGAACTAAGAATTATTAAAAGACCAACTTGTACTATAAAATTCAAAAATAAAAATGAAAAACTATGATCCCATGGAATGCAGGAGCTGTACCACTTACAAAATCGTGTTTTATATGGTATATGCATAAAGTTCCAGTTCAAATCCATTTTCTTAATTGATAGAAACACATCAAGTGTTCACCCTCTTATTTGGTAATGCCTAAGAGCGCCCAGCTTCTCGTTCTCGAAGAACTTAAATACATAAAAATCAGGATTCTGCAGGTTTCTATGTACTTGGAAACATTCACAGATTTTGTTTGCATCACATTCACTTCAGCTGGAAATCATTACTACAATGTATGCATTCCAATACCTCAAATAACTTCAAATGCTACTACGTGATACTAGACCTTTTCACTGCCCTGATCTACACCTTGTAATCTGAAACCCTAGATTAAAAATGTTTCCTTTCAATTACATTTTTCACATTTTCCACCAAGCTCAACTCAGGCTGTTAGGCACCTCAACGCTTCAAACAGTAGCTCAAACAAGAAAAAAGGATTCACTTACTTTGAGTAAATCAGCGGCTTTCTTGAGCTCAATCTCGAGCTCCATCATCGTTGTAGCTTGACTCGATCGAATAACGGAAGCCAGAGACCTAATCGCCGCCACAGCCTCGGCCAAGTCCGGCTGCTTCCTCCAATTATTAAATTCATCCACCACGTTAAAACCCCCACTCTCCTCCTCACTTCCAGATAAGTAACTCCCGGAGACGGCGTCTTCGGGCCTCTGGCCTTCGGCGGCGGCCTGCGCCTGCTCCAGCCAGTCGCTCGTGACGACGCCGTGGTGCGCGGCGCGGGTCTGATAGTAGAGGGAGATCTTAGGGTTGGGGTTTTCAGCTGCCATGGCGGTGGAGGCGGGGTAGAGGGGGCGGCTGTCGGAGGCTGATACGGTGTCGCTTTGTTGGAGGTGATGCTTATCGAGGATGAAAGACGCTGATCTATGCCACATATCAGTGTTAGTTTTGATTGAAATTAGAATTTGCGTCGTGATTATGCCTAAAGGAATCCTTCGTCCCAAAATGGAAAAGCAGCTTCTAAGAAGAATTTTTGTTATTATTATTATTATTATTATTATTATTATATAACAAAGGAAAAATATTATTATTATTTAACACCGAGTATTAAATGATACTGATATAGCCATATAAAGATATACCGGCTCAAAGGCTCTTTACTCGACCGGATAGTGGCTCGGACCGTTCGAGATGTCGAAATGCACCTGTCGACGTTGAAGTCGACTTCTCATCAAATGGTCACAAGAAACGGCAGGTCTCCTACAAAGTCGACTCCCAGAGGTCGTCTTCCTATGGATCAATTCCTAGAGGTCGACTTCGTTTAGTCGACCCCCTGATACCCGACTTCTACTTGAAGAGTCAACAAGAGCGTAGCCTCCGAATAATCAGAGGACCCCGAGTCGACTCGTCCATACTCAAGGTCGACTCCTCTTACCTCGAGACGTGAGGTACACTAACGACTCAAGTCACTTGTAACATACTCAAGGCTCCACATACTCCAAAGGATAAGAAGGAATCTTGTGATGACTCAGCAGCAAGGGGAGACGAACCGACTAGGGCAATTTATACCTTACAGGTCAGCCGACCAGGGCATTTCAGGTACTTCAAGTGAGTGTTCACTCCTGTATAAAGGAGGTGAAGTAACCCCAAACCCTAACTCTCATTCGTTCCACACTCTCCTCATAGCTGCTGCGCAGCATCCCTTCATCACTCTCATACTGACTTGAGCGTCGGAGGCTCTACGCCGGAAACACCTCCGACGTTGAGTTTTTGCAGGTATTCTTACGATTCAGAGGCGGTTCAAGCAGATCTGAGCTCAAATCCACCGGTTCTCTTCAGATCTAGAAGTAGACCCATCAGATACATTTTCGTAAAAATATTAATTGTTATTTATATGTCAACATATCATTTATAGGCTTATTTGTCTTGTATTATAAATAAATTTTCTAACTAATACCATACAATTAGATTTTATAGATAAATTCATTTAATTGGTAAATATCATTTTATTTTTCAGTAAATAAATAGATAAATTAATTTTATTATTAAGATAAATATAACTATTTATTTTGTATATGCACTATTGATGTCAAATCGAAATTGGTCAAGAGATGGTTAATTTGATATATTATATATGAAAAAAATAATAATAAATACAAAATTTAATAACTTTTAAAATGTAATTTTAATTTAAGTTAGTCATTTATTTTATAATTTTAAAATTTTTAATATGCATAGATAGAAGTTCATATTAACATTGATTACTAACATTAGTACAACACCTGTATTACACGGATTCTTGCTAAAAAATTATTATTAAATTTTAAATTAATGTGAAAAAGTGTTTTAAAATTTAAACAATTTTTTTTATAAAAAATATATTTTATTTATATTTTAGAATGACACTTGTTGCTCACTAGTATGAATCCTGTGCAGTGCACGGGTAAGAAATATTCATTAATATTTATAAGTTACAAATTCTTATTAAACAATAATTATAAATTAAAAATATGGAATCAATATGTAATACAATTTACCTATATTAATTTATTGAGAATGTTATATAAAGTTAAATTGTGCAAAATTACATAAATATGTCTATTTAAAATTAACACACAACTCGTGCGGTGCACATAACTGATAATAAATTATATTATATTCGTTTCAAAGTAAGTGTCATTTCAAATTTTTATTCATAAATTCGAATGATTATAATGTGATTCTATAAAATAGTTATTTTGGTAAAATAGAATCATATATTTAACAACCTATGTTAATAATAAGTATAAATATAAAATTTATGTTGTTTCGTTAATTAAAATAAATTTATTTTGGTATAAACTATTCAAATAAAAAAAATAAGTAGTGAAGTAGTTTATTAAATTATAACTAATTGACTATTTCGTTTACGTCCAAGTTTATATAGACCCGCAAGTTATGAATAATTATTTTTTTGATTTTTAATTTTAAATAACAATCTTTTTTTTCAAGATATTATATACCAAGTTTAAATCATGACACTAATAAAGGTAATAGCCGCAAGTTTCGTAAATATATTATATATCAAGTTTAAATCATGCAACTAATAAAGGTAATAGCCGCAATATTTGATCAAAATAATTTTGTACATTAATTACATTAATGAAGGCCGGATTTTTCAAAATTTGACCAAAAAAAATACCCAATTTAGTAAAGCTGAATTTCTAGGCGGGAAACCAAATATTTTTTTACTGATTTTTAGTTACTATTTCAAATAAATATCATTGTCTCTTTGTATATTAATAGATGTGACTTACTTGTGTTATATTATAATAATTTCTCTAACATATACAATATAACTACTCTTAACATAAATATATTAATTAATAAATAATTTTATTTTGCTAATTAATATAAATAAAAAAATTTATTATTATTATAAAGATAAATATAATTTATTTATTTTATACATACAATATGGATATCGAATCGAATCTCATCAATTTGATATATTATATATGTAAAATCGATAAAAAGTTACAAAAATTATTAACTTCTAAAATATATTTACAATTCAATGGTTATAATAGAAGAATGATGTTAAAATACAACTAATACATTTAAAATGACCATAAATAATCAACATATTTATGGATAACCTATACCTAATTATTTTTAGATTGAATATAAATTAAAATTTATTCAAGCCAAATAATAAAGGATTAAATTTTGCCACATTATATTCCGAAGCATACGGGTTTGCTACTTAAGCTTAGCACATTCATTAATTATATAAAGTACAAGACTTAATTTTTTGTAATTGTATCAATTTAAGGCTTGAATTTTGTTATTTCTCTATAGAAGGTTTATATTTTATGTTATTCTCAATTTTTTATTGTTTTAGTTAACTTCTCATTTAAGTTGCAACCAACTTTACTTTTTGACATAAATATGTGAACTATTTATTATTTGGACAAAGTTATTATTATTATTATTAATTTATATTTTACATATTTATAATACAAAATAATAAATATCTTTAGTAAATTGCATTAATAACAAAATGAAACTATATAAATTAAAATTATGCAAAAATTTAATAATGATTATTTTTAAAAAATGATAATTCAAAAAATATGTAGATGAAATATTATTTTTATTAATAATATAAATATGTAATAAAGTTTAGTGTTGGTAAATGAAAAATTTGGGATGATTAAGTTTTAAAGTACTAAAAAAAAAGGTACTATATAGGTGTAGTTTATAGCCTATTTTAATTATTAATAAAAATAAAGCAGTTCGCAGTAACACTCTGCACAAGATTTGGAAATGAAAGTCCGCAAGAAACGTGAAAGTCTCTTATTGGGCGACTCTATTCTGTTGGCAAAATTGCATATTAATACACCACCTTTCATGTTTTTGCAATTTAATCACTACTTTTACAATTTTGCAAATTAATCACCACCTTTACTATTTTTTGCAAATCGATACATGAATGACGGTTCGTTAATGAAATCTAACAGAAATCTGACATGGCATTGACGTGGCTCAATGCTATGTCAGATTTTCGTTAACGGAACCGTCATTTATGTATCGATTTGCAAAAAATAGTAAAGGTGGTGATTAATTTGTAAAATTGTAAAAGTGGTGATTAAATTGCAAAAACATGAAAGGTGGTGTATTAATATGCAATTTTGCCTTTTATTTTTCACTTATTTTTCACATTTACAAGTCCCTTTCTAATCAATCCTTTTCTCTCCGTTGTAATACATGCGCACATATGTTTTGCATGATTGATGTAATAAGTTGATGTTTATTTTTTAGATACCTTGTCCGCATTTAATTCCTTTTATCCATGGGCATGCTTGCTTTCCGAATTCACCTGAAAGTTCGGCGTTGAGAGTTTTTAATTGGATTGAATTGAGTTGATTTCATACGAGGACACGTATTGGCGCTTGCAGGTTGAAGGTTTGATTCGGATACAATTTTGTTTCTAGCTTTGTGGGGGAGAGGTTAATTTTGAATCATTATCATTTTTGTTTTCCGGTTACTGGGTCGCCATCTGAATTTCGGAAGTTTGTTTATGGGAATGTTCGATTTTAGGGTTACTTTGCATGTGTTCGAAAATGTTGATCAAGCAAAAGCTGTGTGAAATGACTTCAGTTCCGGGCATTCACATGTGTTTGATCTGTCGAGTAATTTTGGATTGATAATTGTCTTTCTGCATTCCAAATAGCGAAATTTCGATTTTTTCTAATTCCAGAACGTAGAGGGACTTCTGAGGATTTGCTCAAGTAATTGAATTACTCTAATTGATAGTGAAAGTTGTTGATTGGTTTGTTTGTTGCCCTCGGTAACTGACGACATACGAAGAATGAATTCTAGATTCGGTACAAAGATGAGATTATCAGCATGAGAGTTAAAACAGAGCTGTTAATCCAATGGACGGCTCAAACAGGACATTGTCGGATCTTGTCGGACTACTTAAATCCTGGCTTCCATGGCGGTCAGAGCCTGCACATGTGTCAAGGGACTTTTGGATGCCTGACCAGAGCTGCAGGGTATGCTATGAATGCGACTTGCAGTTCACGTTGTTCAACCGCCGGCACCACTGCCGGCACTGTGGCCGGATTTTCTGTGCCAGGTGCACCTCGAATTGGGTGCCCACACCCCCTGCCGGACTAGAGACTCCGCCGGAAGAGTGGGACACTGTTAGGGTTTGCAACTTCTGTTTCAGGCAGTGGCAGCTGGGGTTGACGGGGGCCTGTGTCAGGAAAGATGAGGTTCGGGTGGACTGCCAGGACCTCGACAACTCCTCAAGCTCTGATACGAGATATACAAGCCCCAAGTCATGCGGTAGCAGCAGCCTCACGTTCGTCTCCATGCCCGAGTCTGCTGGAGTCAGCCCCATTCGATTGCCGTTTACGGACATGAATGCAGAAAGACAGAGTGTGACCACGGGTATTAACAGTGAGTGTGCGTTGAACATAGGAGGGGAGAAGAAGTCCCGGGACCAATTTGAATTTTTCCCAAACAGGTTTTTATATTTTTTTCACCTTTTTTGTTTTCTTCGTTTCTGGGTTGCTGGAATAAATTGAATGGTAGAATCACCACTTTTAATCTGTCCCTAGAAGGAGTTGGCTACTCCATTAGACTAATGGCAATATCATTTTAGCTAGCAGGGGCATTTGGGATTATGTTGGCGAATATGTGGTACTAGTTTTTTTTCTGAAAATGGGTGTTGAATATTTCCTGTTGTGGTTTGACTTTTGAAATGAAAGGTTTGTGGCGTTATAAGTCCTTGTTTTGTGTAAGAACCAGAGTGTCACTTTAGGATAGACATACTGTCTAGTGTATCTTTTTGTATTGTGTTGTCTTTCAATACTATTATCATGGTGTAAGACCTTAAATCTATGCAACATTATTTAGAGTCATATAACTTGGGATTACTGGATAAGAAATATCTAATTGTTCAATGAGTCTTTTCTGTTCTAACTTTCTATCTGCAATCTGTAATCAGTATGGCTTGCTTTCTTGTTCTTTGGAGGAAGATACGTAGTACTAGTTTAGGATTTTACCTTTACGTTTGATCCTGCATGGTTGGAAGAGGCACTACATGACATGTGTTTTAACAAATAAAGTAGTTTTCTCGGCCTCAATGTCTACTTTAATGATAAGAGAGATTTTTGACGTGATATTAGACTATTGCCCGCGATGCTTACCCTTTTCCGATTATGCTCATGTTTGATCAGCATTCTTAGATCTAATATGTTTCTAATGCGCCTCTTGATTCATTTATTTATGCTGAACTTAATGGCTATAACTATTCCCCATTGCATATATATCTTCTTCCAACAGAAGTGATGATGAAGAAGAATTTGGAATTTCGCGATTCGGATCCACAAGAAGTCATTTTTATGTTCCGTTTGAGGACATTGACAGTGAATATAATAATTCACATAAAGTTCGTCCTGATGGGGATGCTCTTGACCCAACAAGTATGAACAGCTACTCGGTACAAGATAGTTTTGAATCCAACACTCCTCGAGGTGCCTTGCAAGTTACTGAAAAAGGAGTTGAACGTGAAGTTTGCAATGAATGCGAGGCACCATCATTATGCTCATCTGAAGATGTTACTGAGCCTGTTGACTTTGAGAACAGCGGAGTTCTCTGGCTTCCTCCGGAGCCAGAAGACGAAGAAGATGAAAAAGAAGCGCTTTTATTTGAGGATGAGGATGATGGGAATGCTGCTGGTGAGTGGGGGTACTTGCGTAATTCAAGCAGTTTTGGGAGTGGGGAGTATAGAAGCAGGGACAAGTCAAATGAGGAGCACAATAAAGCCATGAAGAATGTTGTCGATGGTCATTTTCGGGCTTTAGTTGCTCAACTATTGCAGGTTGAGAATCTTCTTTCAGTGCCCGAGGATGATAAAGAGAATTGGTTGGAGATAATTACAGCATTGTCATGGGAGGCTGCGTTGTTATTAAAGCCCGATATGAGCAAAAGTGGCCAAATGGATCCAGGTGGTTATGTCAAAGTAAAATGTTTAGCTTCTGGACGTCGAAGTCAGAGGTATTCTTTGTGTCTGTTCTGATCTCAAATTAATCTGGTTAGTTATTGGTAAAACCTCTGTTGAAAGTGAACGGCCAAATATGTGCTACGAATAAAGAAAAAAGTTAATTGGATGAATTGGATGTTTCTGCATTCTGTAACTTATAATGTATCTGACTTTTTGTTCCTTACATTATTATATTCTACTCCTTGTCTATCCATTTTATTTTTATTTATGGTATCACTATCATCCTGTAATAGTATGGTGGTCAAAGGAGTTGTTTGCAAGAAAAATGTGGCCCATCGAAGGATGGCATCAAAGATTGAGAAACCTCGTTTGCTGATCCTAGGAGGTGCTCTTGAGTATCAGCGTGTTTCTAATGCTCTTTCAAGCTTTGACACACTGTTGCAGCAGGTTGATTATTTTGTTGGTCCAAGGATTGGTTTCTGTTATGAATATAATATGTATTTCTATGAGGCTTGAGGTTTATTCTTATTTGTGACTGTTCCCAGGAAATGGATCATCTTAAGATGGCTGTTGCAAAAATAGATGCACACCATCCAAATATTCTTCTGGTGGAAAAATCTGTTTCCAGATATGCACAGGAATACCTTCTTGCAAAAAATATATCGCTTGTTTTAAACATAAAAAGACCACTTTTGGAGCGTATAGCTCGGTGCACTGGTGGACAAATCATTCCTTCGATTGATCATCTTTCATCCCAGAAGTTAGGATATTGTGACAAATTCCATGTGGAGAAATTTTCAGAAGAGCATGAAACTACTTTTCGGGCTGGTAGGAAACAGGTGAAGACGTTGATGTATTTCGAAGGCTGTCCAAAGCCGCTAGGCTGCACGGTGAGTCGGTCAATACCTACATCATGAGTAAGACCATGGGAATTGATTTGGGGTCAATGGGGTGATTACTATGCTATGATATTTTAATGGTCAATTGTTTACATTTTCAAACATGCAAACGTTTACGAGATTTTTCCTTGAGCATCAAGTCATGGTGTCCACAATTCGATGAGTTCTCCGTTCATTATTGGGAAATGTAATATATGTCATGTGTAATTGGGTTGCCTTTGGTGTGCTTAAGGGGAGTATTTGTAATCACTTGAGAAGTACGTATTGGTTGGCTTCTCGCATAAAAGGTTTTTTTTTTTTTTCAAGTTTCCAATTGTCAATTTCTTTCCAGTTTTTCTGTAATCTAGTCAAAGTCGAAAAGCATTGGCAGATGTCTAGTTCAGTAGTATTTGAACAACACAAAATTAGCATTTCCACAACTTATTCACTAAACAATCATCCTTCTAATGACTTAAATTTTAGCTTGTATTTCAAAACATTGACATGTGTTTCTCAATTGCTTTTAGCTTTTGCATTTGAAAAAACATACATTAAAAGCTTGAAGTTCTACAAATATTCCAGAAAGCATTTCTGCATTCAACCAAAAACTAATTTAATCTCATCAACTGCTTTAGATATTACTTCGAGGTGCCAATGGGGATGAATTGAAGAAAGTGAAGCATGTCGTGCAATATGGAGTTTTTGCAGCTTATCACTTAGCTCTCGAGACGTCATTTCTTGCTGACGAGGGCGCCTCTCTGCCCGAGCTTTCACTAAATGCCCCAATTACGGTGGCACTCCCGGATAAGCCAAACATTGATAGGTCCATCTCCATCTCCACCATACCTAATGTTACCCTTATCGACAGTGAAAAAACTCCTGGGCCCCAATTCATTGCTGAGCCTCTGAGGTCATACAGTGTCCCCTCACCAGATCTCTTGAAAGCAACAATTGCGTCCATCCATGGAAATCAATCGGTGGAGACATATAATTTTCAGTTTCCAGAGAAAGACTTTCAATACCGCTCGTTGCCCTTTTCTCGTGATGCGTCAGAGGAAAAAGGGCTCGCGGATTTATCTCTGTCTTTGGAGGTAAATAGCACGGGAGATGGCTACCTTAGTAGTGATTGTGGAGATTCAAATGTCAACACAATCATGAAAAGTGATAGCTTGGAGGACATTTCCAAGAAAGTTGGTGTGGACGCATCGAAACAAACTTCTGAGGAAGAACCTGCTTTGAACGAGGAGTTTCTGCCTTCCACTTCGGATCATCAGAGCATCGTAGTTTCTCTGTCATCTCGGTGCGTATGGAAAGGAACCGTCTGTGAGAGGTCCCACATGTTTCGGATCAAATACTATGGGAATTTTGACAAGCCGTTGGGTCGTTTTCTGCGAGATCATTTATTTGATCAGGTACCTCATTTTCTTATCTCATTAAAAAAGAGAAATCGAGAGAAAGTTTTTGCTAGAATGCCATAGGTTTGTTTCTAGTTGAGAGTTTGGAGAAAAGGATATGAAAATTTGTTTGGGGAATGTTAAGAGTGAAATTAGAGGCGTTATTGATTGATGTGATGCAATATCATAATGTTTA